TTTGTGGATGCTTGGTTGGTTAGGCCGGGGTTGCATCACATGTTGTGTCCGGTGGTGACTTTACGTAGTTACCTGCGGGCCATTGATTCTGTGACTGTGGACGCTCTTTGGGTAGATCCAGTTTCCATGGTTTCCTGTTCCCGGGCTCATGTGTGTCAGGTTATCCACTGTGTCAAGTCCAACCAGCCTGCGGGCTACCCTCATGCCCGCAGGCTGAAGCATGACATTCGGCAGTATGCTACTCTCTCAGCGGTTTCTGGGGGGGAGTCCTTTTGGCTGCTTGGAGCTAACCGGCCTGAAATGAATGTATTAGACCCTGGCATCAGCCTTAAGCAAATGGAGTTCTAGGCCTACCAGAGACCACAAGACAGAACTTGGCCCCTCCCATCTCAAAGAGGCACGAGGAGCAATGGTCTATAGAAACCCCCCCCCCTCCCTCCGTGTGATTGGAAGCATTCTGTCTGTGCCATCGACTAGGTCAGGCACTCAGAAAGGTAAGCGCCCCAAAACAAACACCTATTCTGGTCAAGAAATTGCTACTGAAAGCCAAGCTAGGGGACAAAACTCCCCAAATGAAAACGAACAAACGAGTATGATGTCTTCACGTCACTGTGAAGGTGGAGCTGCACTGTCTGCACGGCTCCTCCCACCCCAGGATGGAGAAGGGGGAGCCCCAGACCCCCGGCTATCCACACCTCAGTTCTGTGACTGATGTGAGGCAGGCAAGGTTGTGCGACTCTGGCTCCAGATTTCCAATCCTGTGCCTTGTGGTAAAGTGATGTCCTCAGTGGTGCACGAGCCAGGAGTATACGTATTCACAAGTACTCGGGCTGCATGCGCCTAGGGTCGCCTTCCCTAGGTGCCCAGAAGTCCTTGGGGCCATCTTCCACATGTCACCTTGGAAGCTACCTCCGCAAGGTATTTTGCTGCTCAGTGATTAGCCGCCTTTGGAGTCAACTGGGGTGTTTCCCTCACCCCTGTTTGTTTCTGGGTAGGGGGGGTTGTAGTTGTCACTGGTTGGGGCGCAAGGTACTGTGCAGCTAGTTACCACCTCTCATAGCGGCTGGCTCCGCTATGAGCCAGCCGCTATGGGATTAGCGGATTACGCCTCTTTAATGGATCCATCTTCATTCAGGTTTGGATCTTAGTTTCATTACTGGGCTTGTTATGAAATTCCGGAGTCATCCTGGCTTGCAGACTGCCCTTTTTTCTGGAAGGAGCCCCTACTTCTCCTTGGAACTCTCTAGGCTGATATGTATCTCTTTAGAATTTGGTATCGGTCGATGTGGGTGGAGTTCTAGACCTACCAGAGACCATGAGCCAGAACCTGGCCCCCCTCAGAGAGGTACGAGGAGCGATGGCCTGTAGAAATGATTTGAAGCATTCTGTATCTGCCATTGACCGGGACAGGCACCCAGAAAGGTAAGCACCCCAAAACAAATCCCCTATTCTGGTTAAAAATGACTAAAATAAACAAATAAATGGACAGAACTCCCCAATTGAAAACGTGCATGACGTCACACAAGCCGTGCCGCTTGTCTGAGCATCTCCCAACTCCCCAGGAAGGGGCAAGGGGGAGCCCTAGGCCCCGGGCCAGCGATCCACACCTCAGTTCTTCAGCTGATGTGATACCACATAGTTGTGTGGTTCCAGCTCCAGACACTTGTGTTGTGCTGTCCTCAGTACTGCTCTTATGGTGACGTGCGAGCTGGGAGTAATATTCACAGGTACTTGGGCTCCATGTGCTTAGGGTCACCTTCCCTGAGTGCCCTGTAAGTACTGCCCTTGGGGCTTGGGGTTATCTTTCACAAGTCACCTTGTGTCTTGTGAACATCAGAGGCCCGAGACTGTTCAACACGCTTCCACTACACATAAGGGGCATAACTGGCCGACCCCTCACAGTGTTCAAGAGAGAACTGGATAAGCACCTCCAAAGGATACCTGATCAACCAGACTGTGACTCATACGTCAGGCTGCGAGCAGCCGCGTCTAACAGCCTGGTTGATCAGTCCGGCAACCCGGAGGCCTGGTCGACGACCGGGGCGCGGGGACGCTGAGCCCCGGAAGCACCTCAAGGTAAGGTGTCTACCTCTGTTGGTCTGTTGCTGCTTGACGATTGACCTAGTGTGTTTTGGGGGTTTTTCCACCCTTGTCTACCTTGGGGTAAATGGCAATTTTGCACAGGTAGGGGTGCAGTGTACTGTGCAGCTAGTTTTCATCTATACTGTAACAGCGGCCAGCTCTGTTCCTTCTGAGTACGCTGTCCTCTTGCGAGGTTTTTCTTTTTTTTTATTTGGTCGAGTCTGTTCATCCAGCCATAGCTCTGGGGTCTGACCAGTGGGCCCCCTCTCTTCATGCTATTTCGGCCACCCTGGCTTTTTCTTGTGAGGCTGGAGCCTTGGAAGACGACTCTCCCCACACCACGGGGCATGACATGGAGGTTCCTGGGTTCGGGGAGGAACAGACACAGGCCCGTTGGTCCCCGCCTAGGATTTCTGACCCTCAGAGTGGGGCCTACTGTTACAAGGAATAGGGTTTTCTTTTCGCCCCTCTGCGTACGTGTTGGATTTGTCTCCTCCCCAGGTTCGGTTCCGTGTCCCTGCGAATCCTTCACTTCCATCCCTCCGGAGGTTTTCGGCCTCCCGCATCTCGCCTGCTGAGGTTCGGGTGGCCATTGCGGCTTACCTCCTACTTGACCCGGAATATGCCTCTATCGTGGATCCGTCTTCTTTCGGTTAGGATCTTCGTCTCCATACTGGGTTCGTTATGAAATTCCGGGGTCTCCTGGCTTGCGGACTGCCCGTTGTTGTCGTTGGATGCTTGGGACTCCTTCTGTCGTACCCGCACACTTGAGTGGCGCGAGGCATTGATGGTGGTCCAAGTTTACCTGGGGGGCGACTTTGAACACCTTAATGAGTGTCTTTTCGCTCCTGCTCTTCTGCTGGATGTTGGTGCTCTTCAGCGTCACGTGCAGGTTCCCTCCTTGTCGGCTGCGCTTGTGGCCGAGGACTTGCGCACTCGTGGCTTGCTGGCTTTGGTCATGCATTTCTATTCTCTCCTGGAGCTGTCATTGGATTGGCTTAAGGAGGATGTAGAGGCATTTTGGGCCATTCCTGGGTCTGACGCCTTGGTCTCGGCTGCTCGCGCATCGTCTGGGCTTTTGAAGCTGTTTGCGCCGATCCTGCGGGATGCACTGTCACAGTTTTTCATGGCGCTCCTCGCATGTCGACAGGTGGTGCTCGCTTCCTCCTTGGAATCCGCTTGGGCCCTGGCTCTTAGATTGTCTTCGCCCTTTTGTCCTTTGCTGTTTGCGGTCGAGCAGTATATGCTAGCGGCTTCTTCTAGCTGCTGCCCGATGTCTGACTTGTTGGTTCTCCGGGGGGTCCCGGTTGGGTTTGTCCCGGAGGAGTCGTGCTAGGGCTCGCGGTTCCGCTTGTCGGGGTAGGCCTCAGGCAGGTAAAATGCCGGAGTCTATGAGGCTGTGAGAGTATCTATTCGTCTCTGCCACAAGATGGTTCATGAATTCATTGTCAAAATAAGCCAAGAAATACTGTAGTCGATTTCAGCCATATCGTCACCTGTATAGGGAAATAATGGTGTCACACTAACATCGGTACCATCAAAAGTTGGTATTTGTGGGACAAATCTCTCACAATCCTCCCACACAAGTACACCCGGGGGATTTGGTTTTGACGCCAACACCACAGCCAACTCCACTACGAGCACCAAAAACACGTCACCGTTGTCTTGTGCTAGAGCTGTGTATAGGTATGACAGATGAGGCTGTTCTGCGTATTGCAGGCCTACCACGAACACCTGATGTAGAAGGGCCACTGTCATCATTGTCCTGGCTGCATGACATGCTGCCACTTGCCTCGGCATGTTGCTGGGGCAGAAAAACCCTGCCTAGTAACACCCTCGTTGCTCGTACTCGGGTCTTCAACACTACTCGTATCGGAGCCTATGTCACTGAAACCCGAGAATGATTCATCACAAGTACTGTCACTGAATAAACTTGCATCAGAGGACACACATGGTGGTGGTGACTAACGGTGTTGACCTAGGGCGGCGAGGCAGACTGGGCGAGGCGCATGTACTGTACATACTCGCGACATCAGCCACCTTAGTCTCTCCCTCACTCATATCAGACCTTTGTATAAGGTCTTTCTCTGGATCATAGTCTAAGTCATCATCCATGGCACCATCATCATACAATATGTCGCGTATTTCCTCCTCAGAGAGTTGTTTGCATGACCGCGTCTGGCCGTGAAATGGTAGCTCGTAGACGCTGCATCAGACATGGTTGCTTCCTTGAAACTGAGGATCCCCAGGGCCCTGAGGCATGCTGGGATTTATTTTTCAAAATGGCGGACAATCACTGGGACCCTCAGGCATCCATTTTGTATCTGCACCACCGCATGCCAGTTTTGAATGGTACTCTATACCTATAAGATCCCGGAGGCTCGTTGCGCACCACCGGTCGAGCACCTGCAGGTGCGTTACACAGTGTATTGGTTAATCACCGCGTACCCATTCACTGCTTGGTGAAGAGAGGCATACAGTTAAGGATTGGCACCCAGTCAATCCTCACCGGCCAGGATACGAACCTAGGCCAAATTGGTCTCGAAGTGCTAGGCGAATGATTTACCACTGTGTAACAGTTCGGCTGCGAAACAACCTAACATAGCTTATAGGCTAAAATGAGCTCTCCTAGGCCAATATATACAATCTTAGACCTAGTTTAATCATATATATATATGCACCAACCTTGGCTTAGGAAAGGTTTTGTTTTGTTTTTGCCATCTCCTCAAGCCACCAACAAAATGAAGAGCAGAAAAATATGGTATTTTGTGTGCAGTGGTCCATTTTTGTACATATCCTCCATGGTTTCCATAGACACATTAATATTTGCAGGATAATTTGGTCTATATACAGTAAGCTGTGTGTGATGTAAATTTTTTATATATAAATACATTACTGTACTTAATATTTATTTTCAGTCGAGTCTCTCAGCTTGGACAAACCATAAGTCAGTGGTGGGAGCTGTGCAGGTTTTGAGTGCACGATTAGCCCTCCTGGAGCCTGCACATTTGGATCATGTGGAAGGTAGATTGCATGCTGTGCATACCCGTATGAATTCCATATCGGAGAAGAAGGCAGCGATTGAGGATGCAGACAAACAAAGCAAGGTGAGCATGCAGCTATATTTTCCAAAGAATATAAAATTTGTTTAATTGATACTGTTATGTGCTGAATATTGGTATTTTGTATTAATTTGACTTCTGTATTGAAGAATATAAGGAAAAAATTTTGATGCGACCTTAATTTATCTAAACTTGTAGAAAATGATTAAGTCTTGCTGTTAATTAGGTATGTCGGTAAGGAAACTTTATGGTTTTATTGTGTTTAGTTCTCTTTCTTCTGAGAGGTTTCTATGACTAATGCGCCATCCTCTTGACCTGAGACTTTATATACAGAAGCCTAATTAATTTTGAACAAAAGAAACTAGGCTGCTATTGATAGTTGGTGATGTAACTCTATAACAATTTTATTGCAGTGTGATTTCTTGAGACTAAATTACAGTACAGTACTATATGTACATATGAATCTTAGTGACATGTGAGTTGTATACAAGGAATGTGTAGTTAAATATACAGTCAGATAGGGTGGTGGTAGGTGTTTATTATTAATATTCATTTTTGGTATTCTAAGATATGACTGGTGTGGGGATGTAAATACCTCTCTTGATCTGATATCATCAAAACATATCTAGTCTTGTATCTTGTTGGTCTCATGAAGGGGTCGCCCTCTCAATGAAGTGAAGTTCCCAGAAGGAATTGAGTATTGTGCATCTGTTCCACACTTGACATTTGAGGATACATTTAAGGAATAGATAATTTATATAAAATCATGTAAAGAGGGCCAAGTTTTACATGATACGTTTGAGGTTAGATTCCAGACACTTTCCGGCTTTCTCCCTACACAGGTGATTCCTATTCATATGTTGACCAAACTATACACTAGAAATTGAAGGGACGACGACGTTTCGTCGTCTCTTCAATTTCTACACGCACAATTTGACGTCAGTTTCACAATGTGATGACGACGACGTTTCGTCATTGTCATGTTATTATGTGTCTTCATCTGCATATGGATGCCACACATAAGTGCCTTACTGTGTTTAATTTCTTTGGTGCTCTACCTTCCTTTAAACAGCCTTTTCACGCCTTCGAGTCTTCCTTTCTTGCTGTCAAACGTCGAAAGAACCAGCTCATGCTTCTTAAAGACTATCTAGCGGAGCAAGTTCTCCCTCTTTCTTTATCTCACTTTCTCCAGTTCAACATTTCGGGTTCTCCTTTTCCGGAATATGCCCGCCTTCTTCTTCAAGAACTTAATCACTCAATCTCTTTGCAAATTGACGATACTTTTCTAACAGTACGTCAACAGCAACGCTTTCTGTCTTCTTCTCTTCCCAGTGATCTGTGCAATATCCTATCTCCCATTGCATTTGACACTGCTCACCTCTCCTCACCCCACCACTCCACACTACACAGCAAACTTCAGCACCTGATTTCCAACAGTCCTTGGGATAAATACTCTCTCTCTGACTGTGTTACCAACCTTTAATCTTCCCCTCTCTCTAAGCACCAGCAAGAACGTCTTAGACTTGGTCTTTCTTTTGCTACTTCCCTTGGCCCACATTGTGGTATTTATCTCCTTTGATAAGTTTGTCAATTCTAACTCTAGTACTCTTTTGGACCTGTCTGCCTTTAGAGGGGCCTTATCCCTGTTCTTGACAGCTTGTTTTCTAGAAATCACCATCTTCCTTGCCACTTCCAGCTTGCCCTTGCCTCCCTGAAATCTGACAACTCTATTCTTATTCTTCCTTCTGACAAAGGCAATTTGGTGGTTGTCTTTGACTGAGGTAGTCAGGAAAGGTTGTGCTTTCCAGACTACCTTAGCTGGAGGTAGTCTGGAAAGCTCTAGTCCAGAGCTTTCTGGACTACCTCCAGAAAGCAGATGTCTTTCTCTCTGAATCCCGCACATATGGCCCTCTGACTTGTAACCCTTTGGATCGCCTTAAAACTTCCTTTAATTGCAAACTAAGACAGCCTTCTAGTCATTGTCCTCCTGACTTCGATCTTATTAAATGTTTCCATGTCATCTGCCCTTCTCTTCCTTATTTCTATGGTCTACCTAAGATTCATAAACTTGGTGTTCCTCTTTGTCCTATCATTTCTTCAAGGGGCTCTGTCGGCTATCCTCTTACCTCCTGGCTAACTAAAACTGATACCTTACCTTGGCACTTTTTCTCCTGCTCACCTTCGTCACTCTCAGGACTTCATAGAAAGACTGCACCTGCAGCCCTCCTGTAAGATGCTTAGTCTTGATGTCGACTCTGTTTACTAATGTTCCCTCTTGATGACGTTCTCTTTCCTTAGACAGAAGGTGATTGATGGCCTTCTTCCTCTCTCGATTTCCACTGTCGTTTTCCTCGAACTCATTAGACTTTGTGTTGACTCCACCTCATTCTTTTTCAACGACAAATGCTAGTATTAAACTTTTGGTGTCGCTATGGGTTATCCTCTCTCCCCATGTTCTTGCCAATCTCCACATGGAATACTTTGAAACTCTTCTTCTTCCATCTGTTGATACTCGTCCCTCTCTGGCTTCGCTATGTTGATGACATTATGGCTCTATGGCCTAATGACCTTAGTCTTTTCCAGCCTTTCCTCTCTTCTTTAGCTATTTGGCTCCTTCCATCCATTTTTCAAAGTTGAATGGGAATCTAATTCCCTCCTTCCTTTTCTTGACGTTCACCTTCACAGTTCTGTGCATGGGTTCTCTTTCTCTGTTTACCGCAAACCCATGCATAATGTCATGTACACACACAAATCACAATTACGTGATGCATCAAATGAACAAATCCACAAGGGCCGTGACGAGGATTCGAACCTGCATCCAAGAGCATCCCAGATGCTGCCTTAATCGACTGAGCTACGATAGTCAAAAGGAGTTGAAACCGAAGTTCTACTGAACTTACTGGATCCTGCAGCCTCTCCGAGGCACAAACCAGGGTTTTATCCAACTCCCCCCATGCACTCGAGCTATGCCAATAGGCTGTTCTACCTCTTCGCCCTTCCTTCATTACACACAGAAATCATAATTGGTTCGAATCCTCGTCACGGCCCTTGTGAATTTGTTCATTTGAGGCATCACGTAATTGTGATTTGTGTGTGTAATGAAGTACTGTAAGGGCGAAGAGGGAGAATGGCCTATTGGCATAGCTTGAGTGTATGGTGGGGAGTTGTGTAAAACCCTGGTTTGTGCCTCGGAGAGGCTGCAGGATCCATTAAGCTTAATAGAAGTTCCGGTTTCAACTCCTTTTGACCATGTCGTAGCTCAGTCGATTAAGGCAGCATCTGGGATGCTCTCGGACGCAGGTTTGAATCCTCGTCACGGCCCTTGTGGATTTGTTCATTAGTGTCATGCACATTCACTTCTTTTCCTACCATCCTCCTCCTGTTAAGAAAAGTGTCCTTGACTCTCTCTTCGTCCGCACTCTACGCATCAGAAATCCTCAGTTTCTTGATTCAGAAATTTCCTTTATCTACAAATCTTTTCTCTCGCCTTTATCTACAAATCTTTCTCTTACCAACTGTGCCTATTCTCAAGCTAAACAAAATTTCTTTCATCCTAAACCTGCTTCTAACATTAGTAGCACTGTACTCTGCCTCCCCTTCATATCTGAACTCAAAACTTTTACTTGATACCTTTCATCCTCTCGATATAAAGCTCGCCTTTCGATTAACACTCTTCGTAGCAATCTAGTTCACATTGCTGCTCCTGCTTCTAATGTTGCTGGTGTCTACTCTATTTCCTGTTTGTCTTGTCCTCCCTTTTTCAGTTTACTTTAATGAAACTGGTCATGAAATATGAATGAAATGAAATATACTAGTGGTAGAAAATAATAATAAAAAAAAATTATTGACAGACTTAAGGAACACAAAAGAAATGTTAAGTCTGCAGGTACAAACAATGCACTCTTTTGTCATGTTAGGGATTCTAATCATCCTATTGATTGGTCTTCTTCCAAAATAATCATTCCTGCCTCTACACGGACGCCGTCTTGTTGAATCGGTTCTGATGCACAACATACCCAACATGAACTCGAGTCTTTGTTGCTGTTGACTCTTCCCTTTCACAGTACTGTATATACTCAAATGCTCTAAACTTTCTAACAAACGTGACCTAACATAAGCCTACCCTTCCTTTTATCTTTCTCTTGTTTTCTCTTACGATCCCTTTCTTATTTCTATTTTTACACCCTTTATTACACCTTAGTTATAGTTTATTACACCTCATGGTAGTTTTGCCTTGCTCTTAGCTTCCTCTAAGATTTCTCCTCACCTCTATCTTGGTATTTATTGCCCTTGCCTCCTTTGTATCATCACAATCGACTTGATAATGGTCCAGGACAGGCCGAAACGTCGTCGTCTTCAATTTCTAGTGTGTGGTTTGGTCAACATTTTTTCAGCAATGTTATTGTGACGCTTCATCTCCTATTCATGTCACTAATGCAGTACAAAGTTCAAATACTGCATGAAACCGAATACAATTCTACAACATAAAATCATGTGTAAGGACTCTCAGAAACGAGATTTTAGTTAAGGACACTTCAGTTGAATTGAGGAGGATTTATGAGGCTCCACCTCCCTGGCAGCCCCATTAGGCTATCCAGGCCAGCAGGTATCAAATTGGGTAACTGGGATGTTTGGGAGGGAAGCTTGTCGTGAAGCGACTCACTGTGCTTACAAAGGTAGACTAGGAACTGAAAGCATGTGTTAGGAAACTTGTGCAAAACTTTGTAAGGTGGACTACTTGACATAGTTTGTCGAGTTTGTCGGTCTCCTTGTAGATAGCCAAGGCATATGTTAAACTTCCCCAAAGGTGTAAACTCTACTCCAGATTTGGGCCCATGTTCACTACTTCCTTGGCCAGCTGGTCGGCAAGCACGAAGTGAACGAGGCTCATGATGAGGTGGTGCAGTTCAATAAGCATCATGCTGACATTAGGGTGCAGGTTAGTCAGGCATGTAGGCTGCTCTGGAACACTATCAAGGAGCTAAGCCTTGAAAGAAATGCTAGATTCATGGTAGTTTTGATCCAGTATGTTGAAACAGTTGATA